GCCAGTGTTGGCTTTATTTATTTAGGTACTGTGATGGTGGGTGCATATATACTTATATAGGTGTATCTTCTCAAGGTGTTGATATTTTCATCATTATATCATAAACTTCATTGTGTCTTGTAATTACTTTGACTTGCAGTGTATTTTCTCTGATGTAAGTATAGCCACCTCTGATCTCTTTTAGTTATGACTTACATGGAATTTCGATCTCCATCCCTTCCTTGAAAGAATGGAAAAAGACCATATATGTCCTTAAATTTAAATTGAGTTTATTCTAGGCAGAATATAGTTGGGTCTTTTTTTTTTTAATTCATTCAGCCACTCAATGTCTTTAGAATCAGGGGTTGAATCCATTTACATATAAACTAATTTTTGATAGGCAAGACCTTACTATTACCATTTTGTTGTTTTCTCTGTTTAGTAGACATGTATATAGAAATGACTACAATATACCTTTAAAAAACCCAATTGAGGGGGAAAAATGGCAGAATAGAGGTAACCCTCCGGACTCCTGCTCCCAGAGAAGGAGACACAGATCTTGGTTTCCTACACGTGAGTGGATCTCCCCACTATAAAGACAGCATCAAGAATCTGCAGAGGAGCAGCGGGGAACTCTCATAAAAAGAAAAACAAGGTGATTGGGAGATAAAATTGTGTTCTCTGGAGAGTGCAAAGCAAACAATAGGGCTCATGGGAGGGCACCGGCCCACCGGGCCAGGTGGTGAAGTGGGATCAGACCCACAGGAGGACTCCTTGCTTCCCCCTTGACCTCCACACCCACCCAGCCAGAGACCTGTCTGAAACTGGTGCAAAGTCGCAGCAGCAGAAGAGGGCGCTGGAGGGTGCGGTAGATGGTAGAAGTCGGCAGCGCAGTCCCCCCTGCACCTGTGCTGGGACGGCTCCAAGACGGGAGGAAACTGATCTGTGCAGACTGGGGAGGCAGTTACAGGTCTCACCTCTGGTAACCAGCGAGACTAAGTGGGGGCTCTAAGCTGGAACTGTCCTGGGCGAATAAAACCGCACAGGGCGGGTCAGTAAAAGCAAGGGCTCTGGCTGAACAGGAGGTTGGGCAGGCAGCCTGGAGGAAGCTATGGGGCGTCCTATTGACCCAGGCTCCCAACCCGGCACCAGCTGCACCCTAATCAGTCGCTCCCAGTACTGGTGCCCTATGAGTGGGCTAGTGGTCGCCACCGAGGGGGTCCATAGCCCAGCCGTCAGTGGGCAAGTCCCCCTCCACCGCCCAGACTAGAGTCTCTCCTGGCAAATCCCACCCCTACACAATCTGCAATCGGCTCGCCAGGCCTGGCTCCATCAACTAACTCCTGAGAAGTCTAGCAGCCAAGGGCAGTTACAGCCACTGGGGCCCTGGGGTGCAGGGCAGACTGGGGAGATACCTCCTCCCCTCAGCCCGCATCTCTCTTGCCAAAAGTGTAGGCTCCACCCCTGGAGGCAGGCCAAGACAAGAAAACCCACTCTCCCCAAATCTAGGGAGAAATCGCTAAAAAGACCCATCAGGGGAACTTCCCAAGTGTGGTAGAAGAGCTCCCCCCAGTCGTTGATAAAGAAACTACAAAAAAGTAGACGACTGAGCTCTAGCAATTGACCCAGATGGGGAGGGCCCAACGCAATTTAAAAAATCAAGCTGAAAATATTCCCCCTAGTAGATACACCAGCTCTCAAGAAATGAAGTCTGAACAAACCCCAAACACTAAAATGACAGAAGAAGAATTCCAAAATTGGATTGTAAGAAAGCTCAATGATATGCAAGAAAAAATGAAACAAAACAAACTACAAAGAAGATACAAGAAATTGGACACAAGATCTCACTAAGGACGATCGAACATCTTGAAGAAGAATCAAGCAGACATCCTCCATATGCAGAACTTTATTCAGGGAAATCAAAGACACATGTGAAGCCTCAAAAATAGGGTGGCGCAAACAGAAGAAAGAATCTACAGAGGTTGAAGGCAACTATTCAAATCAAATAAGTTACTCGACAGAGTTGAGCAGAAAAATAGATGCATGGACGCAAAGCTTAAAGAATCTGGTGATTATCCCGTATGAAAGAAGAATAACGCTGGGGGGTTTCACTGGATCGGAAGAAGAGGAAGAAAAACCCAAGGTTGGTAAGCCTTTTTGAGAGAAATAAGTTGGACTTCCCACGGTCTAACCAGTACCTTGAATTCAGAAATACAAGAGGCCAAGAAGACTCTGCGGGGATACAATGCAAGACGAGAAAACACCAATGCCTGTAAGTCAGTCAGACTGAACCACAAATATCAACAAAAGGAGACCTCCTACAGCTGTTGAGGCAAAAGAAGCAATTCATACAAGGAAAGACCCGATCCCGGTATTAACTCCTAGATTTCTCAACTGAACAATACAAGAAAGGAGGAATGGGGACCCCTTCATTCTTTTGAAAACAAAATAATGCCCAGCCTAGATCTTGTACCTGGAAAACTAAGCTTTGTAGTTGAAGGAGAAAATAGGGACATTCTCAGATTAAGCAAAGTCTCATGAGAATTCACCAAGACAAAGACCAGGGCCTGACAGAACAGTACTCGAAAACAGTGTTGGCACGGCGAACACCATAATAAAAACTGCATGGAATACTAAAGAACAACGCAAGACACCAGATTACAATGCCCAATGATTAAGCCAATGGCTCAAGAGAAGTAATCAAAGCAATAACTCCAACCCAACAGAATGAACAGTAGCACCTTACCCATCAGTTCTCGTCAATAAAATGTGGAATGGCTTCAAACTTTCACTCAAGAACATAGGGCTGGGCTGAATGGATAAGAAAAGTACGGCCAAGTATCTGCCTGTCTTCAGGAAACACATCTAACTGCAAAAAAGGGATGCATTATAGGACTAAAAGAAAAGGGGTGGAGATCAGTATTACAAGCAAGTGGAAGGGCACAAGAAGGCTGGCGTGGCAGTTCTAATTTCAGACGATTTTGTTTGGATCTAAGCAAATTGATTGGTAGCAACTCCATAATCACTGGAGATTTCAACACTCCACTGACGGCACAAGACAGATCCTCCAAACAGAAAATAAATAAAGAAATGCTGGACTTAAACAAAACTCTAGAACAATTGGGTCTGACTGACATTTACAGGACATTCTACTCAAAATCCATCTGATATACATTCTTCTCATCAGCTCACGACATTCTCTAAGATTGACCATATCCTAGGACACAAAGTAAACCTCAAGAAATTTAAAAATAGAAATCATACCATATATCTTCTCAGATCACAGCGGAATAAAAGTAGAAATCAACCCTAACAGAAACTAACATTTCTACACAAAAACATGTTTCCATTAAGAAATTAAACAACCTCCTACTAAATGATTACTTCATAAGTGAAGAAATCAAGATGGTAATAAAAATATTCTATGAACAAAATGACAATGGAGAGACAAGTTATCAAATCCTCTGGGACACAGCTAAAGCAGTTCTGAGAGGAAAGTTTATCTCCCTAAATGCCTATAAACCAAAATCAAAAAGATCACAAATAGACAATCTAATGAAACGACTCAAAGAGCTGGAAAAAGAACAGACCACCCCAAACCCAGCAGAAGAAGTGAAATCAACAAGATCAAATCAGAACTAAACGAAATTGAAAACAGGGAAGCTATTCAGGAGATTAATAAAACAAAAAGTTGGTTCTTTGAAAAAATAAACAAAATTGACACGCCATTGGCTAGGCTAACGAAAAGCAGAAAAAAGAAATCTGTAATAAGCTCCATCAGGAACAAAAAAAGAGATATCACAACTGATCCCAAAGAGATACAAGATATAATTTATGAATACTACAAAAATCTTTATGCACACAAAGTGGAAAATCTGGAGGAAATGGACAAACTTCTAGAAATACACAGCCTCCCTAGGCTCAACCAGGAAGAAATGGATTTCCTGAACAGACCAATCTCAACAGCTGAAATAGAAACAGCAATTAAAAATCTCCCTAAAAAGGAAAGTCCTGGTCCAGATGGTTTCACACTCGAATTTTACCACACTTTCAAAGAAGAACTAGTACCTATCTTGCAGAAACTATTCCACAACATCGAGAAGAATGGAAACCTCCCCAACACCTTTTATGAAGCGAATATTACTCTGATACCAAAACCAGGAAAGGATGCAACAAAAAAAGAAAACTACAGACCAATATCCCTAATGAATATAGATGCAAAAATTTTCAACAAAATCCTAGCTAACCGAATGCAGACGCTTATCAAAAATATAATCCATCACGACCAACTGGGCTTCATCCTAGGGATGCAGGGATAGTTCAACATACGTAAATCTATAAATGCAATTCACCACATAAACAGAAGCAAAAACAAAGATCACATGATTATTTCAATAGATGCAGAAAAAGCTTTTGACAAAATTCAACACCCTTTCATGATACGAACACTTAATAAAATAGGCATAGAAGGAACATACCTAAAAATGATACAAGCCATAAATGACAGACCCATAGCCAACATCATACTGAATGGGGAAAAATTGAAAGCATTCCCACTTAGAACTGGAACCCGACAAGGCTGCCCACTATCTCCACTTCTATTCAACATAGTGCTGGAAGTCTTGGCTACAGCAATCAGACAGGAAAGTGGAATTAAAGGTATCCAAATAGGGGCAGAAGAGATCAAACTTTCACTGTTTGCTGATGATATGATATTATATCTAGAAAACCCCAAAGATTCGACCAAGAAACTCCTGGAACTGATCAATGAATTTAGTAAAGTCTCAGGATACAAAATCAATACACAGAAAACAGAGGCATTCGTATATACCAACAACAATCAAATTGAGAACCAAATCAAAGACTCAATTCCCTTCACAATAGCAACAAAGAAATTAAAGTACCTAGGATATACTTAACCAAGAAGATAAAAGACCTCTACAGGGAGAACTATGAAACACTGAGGAAGGAAACAGATGGAAAAGATGTAAACAGATGGAAATCCATACCATGCTCGTGGATCTGCAGACTCAACATCATTAAAATGTCTATACTACCCAAACTGATCTACAGATTCATCTCCCACTTCCTGCCTATTTTAAGTCATGATTTCAACGATTTAAAGCAAAAGAATAGAGTTGTAGTCAGCCGCTTACATTGAACGCTGTGTTGTTTTTTCCTCTGAAATTGAAAACGGTTTAAACGAAAAACTCCTTTTGCGGGCGGGTGTAGACCTGGGTCCTATGCATGCGACTGTGGGACTCGGTCTGGGGCAGGGTAGGAGCGGGGTGCAGTGGCCTCGGCGAAGGAGCCCTGTGGGGCGGTGGCCGCCGGGCACCGGCCATCGGAGCGGCTTGTTTAATTACGCAAGGACCTGAGTGGTCGGGGTCGCTTTCCTTTGAGTTAAGTCCCCGCCCCGCCCGTGCAGTGGGCAGCCAGTCCTGACGTCGCGCGAGAAGTTCTGAGGCCTGGCAGAGCTCCAGCGTGTTATGTTATACCCCGTCTCCAAGACTCTCCTCTTGTCCGTGGGGGACTGCTGTTGGGATCGATGGGGAGGGAGCAGTCGGTCCGGGGAGGAGAAGATTGGTCAACCACAGGAGGCAAGACACCGTCAACGTTAATTCCGAGCTGCTTGGCGGCTGTCTGTGTATGAAGCAAGTTTTATTGTTTTATATCCACCCTAAGCCATCAGCTTTGGGGACTCTCTGTCCTTGTTTTATTCCACAAGGAGAATGAACAACAACCAAAGACTATGTGGTTTGATTCAGTCCTACCTCTAATTCCTAAGCCTCAATGAACAGGACGTGGGGACTCTTAATCCCTTCTTGCTAGCCAAGTAGGCCAAGGAATTCGTTACTGGAATTTGTTACAGAAGGTGAAATGCAAAACTCCCTGTTACAAAGCCGGACATGATGGCGCGTGCTGCAGCTACTCGGGAGACTGAGGCAGGAGGATCGCTTGAGCCCAGGAGTTTGAGGTTGCTGTGAGCTAGGCTGACGCCACAGCACTCTACCCTGGGCAACAGAGCGAGACTGTCTCAAACAAAACAAAACAAACAAAAATAAAACCTCCCTATTACACACTACAGCTGAATTCTAAATTCATTTCTCTTTGAAATAACTTTGGGTGACATCTCAGTTTTTCACTTAGGTGAAATTGTCTTTTGGCCAACATAAAGGTCACTGATGAATAATCTGTGTGTGTGTCCTAAGGACAAACACCAATTATAAATGAGAGGCTTTTTTCTCCTTTGAGAATAAGGGGAGTCATTTTCCTCCCTCCTCTTTTTGTCAGAATGTTTACCTTAGAAAACTTGTAAATTTGAATACTTTCTCCTGCAATGTATATTTTTAGAAACTAAATAAACCTTTTGTTAGCATAATAACCTGGGAATGTCTTTCTGAGGGCGTTGGGAGCCATCCCTTTGGAATGTCACAATCGAGGGAGATAGCTCTCTATCCCTCAGTTTCTGTGGGAGCCTAACTAGAGTGAGCACAGGTCTCCCTGCTGTGAAACTAACACCTGTCCGAAAGATATGGTTTAAGTTTTTTCCCGTCCCTCTGGATAAAGCTAATTTGCTAACATGGATGGTCACCCCAATTACCAAATAGAGTCAGGATGAGCTATGTATGTGTTCCCAAGCGTTTTGTGAAGTTCTTTTACTTCAGGCTAATTAGTGTTTATCTTGAAAACAAGTGCATAGTGGGTTGAAACTTTAATATTTTGCATCTGTCTTATGAGAGACATGGAGGCATAAGTCAAAATCTTGTGATTGAGGAAATATATGTTTTCATATATCATGAAAAATATGTCCATCTTGATCCCTTGAAATTTTTAGAAGCGACCAACTCCCTATATAGAAAAACAGATTCATGACTTTCAGATATGATCAGCTTATCCTCTGCTGTTCTGAATTTAATGAAAAGCTCCACAATCAACTTATTTCTTTGCTTTGGATCATAGAAATCCATGCTAAGTTTTTTCTTGTCAACATAGCTACTTAGCAACATTGCATAATAGAGACATCTATCTTGTAAAGATCCTCAAATCTATCCCAGGTAGTGCATCTTTAAAAAATATGCCAAAGCGGGGCACCATGGCTCATGCCTGTAATCCTAGCACTCTGTGAGGCAGAGGCAGGAAGATTGCTTGAGCTCAGGAGTTTGAGGTTGCAGTGAGCTATGACCATGCCACACTGCACCCTAGCTGATGTGACAGAGCAAGACCTATGTCTCAAAAACAACAACAAAAAACAAAGAAAAGATGTTGATATAGGGCATGGTGGCATGTACCTGTAGTCCTACCTCCTTGGGGGGCTGAGGTAGCAGGATTGCTTGAGCCCAAGAGTTTGAATTTAGCCTGGCTAATATAGTGAGACCTTGTTTCTAAAAATAATAATAATATAAAAAATAAAAATATGCTAATGTATCTTCTTGTTTTTATCTGTGTGCCATGCCAGTACTTTCTGCTCATTTTAACCTGCTAATATTTTAATTATGGTAATTTTCATATCTAACCATGATCATATTTCAAATGATTACCACTTCAACATGGATGAAACCTTCTAAAACTAAGGATGTGAGAGTAATACATACTTAATTAGTACATGTTAATTCAAAAACATTGCTATAAAATTATTGCTGGCAGACATGAGCCTATTTAAAATTTCATAATGTATTAGACACCTCAGAGTTAGCAAAAAAAAAAAGAAAAAAAAATTTCATAATGTAGTTTTACTTTCTTAAGTGTTCTTTAAAAGAGAACAATCTGTCTACCCAATCACTTAGAAATATTGCAGAATCAATTATTCTTTAGGTCGCTATATTCAGTGGTTCTCTGAAGACCATTTTATAGGCTTTGTTATCCACTCGCGCCAGAATATTGAAGAAGAGAAAAAGAAGACCTAAAACATATTACAATTTTAAAATAAAATATGTTTTCTAATTATGTTCATAATGCACATAATGTGAATTTGAAATTGCAGTGTATTTAGGACACATTTATGTGAGCATAATATGATGTAAACAAAGTTTATCTTAAAGGTATTTAAGGTTAACTCATCTCAGGGATGGAAGAGATTAACAAGTGTAAGGTACACCTATGTAATTTCCATCTATTTTTAGAAGTTAGGGCTTTTTTTTTTAAAGCAACATTTGGAGTCCTAACTTATTACTGGCCTTAGCCCTCCATATCCCAGGCGTTGTCCCTGTGAAAGTCTCTGAAACTGAGCACAGGATTAACACTTTCCCTCCAGACTGAATGAGAACAGAAATAGAAAGGGTTTCTATTCTATTTGGTTGGGCGTCAGCATGAAATTATAAATTCTGCCCAGGCAGGGTTTTGCATTTTACATTCTAGTCTGTATCCCCTTCACAGATAGTTCCGGGGTATTTAATTTAATTGTTAAACTTAATTTTCATTGGAGGAACTTTCCTGGATCCAACCACAAACAAAGTTGACTCTCCCAGCCAGATACTAGTTCCCAGACCTCTGAGTTGCTCCAGCCTTACCGACAAGTCTTGCTTCCAAAACGCGGAAAACCAGATGCGCCAGGAGCGAGGCAGCTGGAAGCCCAGGCCCCGCCCCTTCCCCGCCCACACCCTCGGCCCCGCCCACACCCCGGCCCCGCCCACACCCGCGGGCCCCCGCCCACACCCGCGGGCTTGTCCGGCGCGCGCCGTTTCCCGCAGACCCGGAAGTTGATTGCGTGGAGAGAAGGTGACCCAGCGTCCGGTGAGTTTTTCTTTATGTAGAATAAGTTTCTCCGCTTCACAATCCCCTAGCGCTTCTATACCCGGGATCTGGGGGCCATACAGACCTTTAAATCCAAGCACCGCTCCTTCCACCCTGAGGGAGTTCAGACGTCCCAGTGAGAGTCCGGGGGTCGCTTTCACGCAAAGTCCTCACCGCGAGGCGGGTTCACACCCTTCCGGTCCCCCAACCTCACCGCTGTCGACCCCTGAAGGGCGGGCCGCAGCCCCAGTCCGGGGGAAGCCGCGTCCTCTCCCTGGCCCTGGGATTCTGCAGACCCCGCTTTCTTCTAATCCATCCCCCGTCCTTTCCTCCTTGGGCCGGGCCCTTCTGCTCCCCAGGCCTCTTCGCAGTCACCACTTCCTCCGATTCCGCGTTGGGGGAGGTGATGGGGCTTCCCTTGTGACTCTGAGTATTCTTTCATCCCAAATTCCTCCCAACTGGAAAATGTGCTGTTCAGGAGAGAGCATGTTATTCCTGTTCCCCCTGTGTGAATGTGTGTAGAAAGAGAGATGGACAGCAAGAGAGAGAAAATAGAAAAATTTAGAAAAAGAAAGGAAGAATGAGAGAGACCCATAAACGGACAGCTTTCAGGATATCTATTTAAATTTTGAAAATCACTTTGTTTTAAATTTTTGTCACCTGTTACCAGTTCTTTGAATGCTCTTCTCTGAATGTAGAGTGTCCCACGACTTAGTCCTTGAAACACTTTCCCTCTCTGTCCACACCCACTGACCTTCCTTACCATCTCACCCCCTGGTTTAAACCCCACCTACACGTCTCCATTTCCCCTGCAGACCTCTCCCTTGGACTCTGGAATCCTGTGTCTAGTTGTCTTTGTGACGTCTCTGCTAGGTCATCTAACAGGCATCTTCCCCTTAATATGTCCAAGAGGGACATTCTGAACTCCCCCCATTGTGTTCCCTGCAGTCCTCACATCTCAGGCGAGGGTGATCCTGTACGTCTTCAGACTTAGTGGAACTTCTCATATTTTAGTGTATTTATGCATAAAATAAAGAAAAAATTACATGTTTACTTAAAACAGGTGAGGAAATACATCATTTCTAAACTTCTCTTGCGATGTGGGAGAGAAACGTGTGCAGACCTGGCCCTCCCTGCTCTGCTCCCCCAGGACCCTTCTGGCCTCATCTCCTGCTTGTGTCGTCCTCGCTGGCCCTGCTCCAGCCACACAGGCCTCTTTCCTTTTCCTGGAACCAAGGTGGCTCCTGCCTCAGGGCCTTCATGTGGGCTGTCTACTGCCTAGAACTTTCTGGGCTCTCAGCTGCAAGTGACAAACGTCCTTCCTTCCTGGGGTCTTTTGTCTATTATCACGTTCTCAGTGGGGACTTCTGTGACTGTCTCCACTCTCCGCCGTTTAACATTCCTGCCATACCCTCACCCCCACATATGGTCCACATTGGGTGCTCTTCATGTTTCTTCACCTTCCACTGTGTAGGTGATGGCTTGTCCCCAAGGGACAGCAGAGCTTGAAAGTGGGAGGTGTGCTGGCCTTGTCCCCTCTAAGTAGACCCCAACCCTGGCTTCACATTACAGTGCTGAGGCATTTTGCAGCTACATGTTTTGTGCCGCCTTACCAGAGATTCCCATTCACATAGTCAGGTTGGTACCTGGCCTTAATAATATTTACAGTTTCCAAGTGACTCTAGTCTGTGTCCAGCATTCACCACCAGGATTCTGTGTCCTCCATTTCTGAGGGCTGAGATCAGCCTGTGATCCATGCAGGGGTGAGGGGGGCTATGCTCTGCATTAGGTTTGGTCAGCGCCAGGTCTGTGCCCTGGAGGGGAGCTCAGCCCAGCCCAGCTCCCCACTGCTGCAACCAATGTGAGTGAGGGCTTCACCAGGAGGGGAATGAGTTCTGAAGAAAGGGGTCAACACTCACTTGTTGGTCTTCCTGTAGAAGTTTGTTGTCCCTGTATCCCTCTCAGTGCAGTGGGCAACAGAGAACCATTTTCCCACAGGGTGAGGTCTTCCTTGTGTGTGTAGTTGTGGCACAGGAAGGGGGTGTGTTGATTCTCAGCATTTAAAAGCATATTTTTGACATTCAGGATTGACTTCTAAAGACTCATGTTGGGTGAAGAAGAAGCCCAGATGAGGAGGAAGAGGAAAGAAAACCAGCCAGGAATGGCTTTGACTCAGGTAACGTTGTATTATCGATGGATTGTCCTTATTTCTGAAATGCCAGGCATCAGAGTCGCTGATCTTCTCTGTCTCTGAAGCGTCCTGCCTGTTGTGTTTGCTCGCACTCACCCGTGCCTTCCCTCAGTCCCTGTCACCTCCACTGAGATTCTATCTCACTGTGACCCAGTGACATGACCCTGTGAGGGGGCTCCACTGGACACGGTCCTGGGAAGGGCTTCACACCCAGACGTGGGTTGGAGACGGGGTGTGGGTCCCCTAGTGTCAGTGCTGTTGGGCAGCAGGGACAGTTAGGGGCCACATCTGGAGGCACCGTCACTCTCTGTAGACCAGGATTCGAGAAGCTGCACATGAGGTTGTGTGTGAATGTACACATATACTTGGTAAAACATGGAAAAGGGGACCAATGAAGGTAAATCTTTTCTGTATGATTTTATACTACATTTGCAACTGAACAAGTGAGTCACTATTTCTGAATCCATCATGTTAATGGTTCAGAAAGGAATGGAAAGTTCAGACATCAGTGACAAGGGGTGTTTTTATTCCATCATCGATTTTAAAATACGAAGTCAACCTAAATGTGAATTAGCAGGAGGTTGAAAAACATTTAAAAATCTGTCAACTTTCCCAATTTTCGTGTCTGGCTTGGTTCTGAGAGTAGGCTCTGTGATCATTCTCAGCACATCCCCACCGTGGAGACTGATATTCCTGCAGGGAGTATTGTAAAGCAGGTGTCTTGGGTGAAATTTTTCTCAGAGATTGGAGCAGGTTTCTTTTTCATTAGAGAGGATGAAATCATATTCTCATTCTACCAATGATTTTAAATATTATATTTTTATCTTAAACTCCTCTTTACATATATATTTGTTGTATACTAAAACTCTAAACAAACATGCAGCTTTTTAAAAAAAATTCTCAGTGATTGCTTTGTTGTGATATCTTGTCTTGAAAGTTTCCAAAATTTACATGTTTTGAAGTCAGGAAAATGAATACCTTGCTTTTTTACATCCACACTGGAACATTCTCTGAATTACAAAAATCAGTTGCCTCTCCCAGTTTTTTGTGTCTGGCTTGGTATCATGAGAGCACACTCCAGTCCACCCGGAAATGCTCAAGCCTTTCCTAGGAATGTGCCCTCTCTGGGCTTCTGCTGGTAGCTACCCTGCTGTCAGCCTGCGCTCCTGTTGCTCCTGTAGCCTCCAGGGGCAGTAGAAGTAGTCTGCATCGCCTCTTAGTGTCAGCCTGTGTTCCTGCAGACTCTGGTTTATGTTGATAGTTTGTGCTCCGTGGCCCATGATGTAGGGGCTTGTTACTTTCAGTGCTTATATTCAACCAAGACAGAAACCTGTACTCGTGTTTACTGCTGATCATGGTGTTTCATGAAAAAGTTCGTGCTTTATATCAGCGTTATTTTTTGTTTTCCAGTTTCATATTTGGCCTGATGTTTAATTATCCAATAATTTCCTAAGGTATCTACTGCTGAGATACATTTTCTTTGACCTTAATATATTACATGAATAAGTTTTCTAATCATGTATCACTGTCTTATTAATGAAATAAATTAATAAACCCCTTGGCCTTCTATAAATACCTGAATATCTAAATTTAAGCAGACAAAATTATATGTATAAGCCTGGTGTGATAGCTCATGTGTGTAATCCTAGCAACTCAGGAGGCTGAGGCTGGACAATAAGCTGCTTGATCCTAGGGGTATGAAACCACCCTGGGCAACATAGTGAGATCCTCATTTCGTTAAAAAATATATTAATATATATTTTCCAAAACTTTCCTATGTTTAGGGTAGGAGAGAAGATATTACAAATGGATCAAGAAAAATATTTCACAAGTTCATCTACAAATGGCCTCCTTCTGAATTCTTAATATTAATATATATATGGGTATTTAGTAGAGATTAAGAGTTCAAGTTTCTATATTTTTTATGGTCTACCATTTTTAATAGATCAATATATAATAATATTTATAAGCCAAATTAAGTAGAAGCTATAAATTTGTATTGTCAAAAACATGCTGAGATGCACATTAGCAAAAATAATGATGACAGCTGGGTGTGATGTCATGAACCTTCAGTCTCACCTACTTGGGAGGCTGAGGCAGGAGGATCGCTTGAGCCCAGGAGTTGAAGGCTATAGTCTGAGATGATCACGGTTATGAATAGCCACTCTAGCCTGGGCAATATAGCAAGCCCCTGATTCTAAAATTAAAAAAAAACAATGATGACAAATATCATCTAAGAAGTAATATTAATAGGTCATTGAGAGACACTTTCTGTTATTTCAGTTGATGTGTATAAGTGTGTACATGGGATATGTGTGCATGTGTGTGTGGATGAGCAAGCCTATGATTATCAAAAGCAATCAGTATTTTATATAAATTTTACATTTTTTAACAGTTGCAGTTATATCTTACATATTTTCCATGGCCTTAAAGTTGTTCTACACTATCATGTTAATGAATTGATAGTAGTAAAAATAATAATGTTTAACCACCGTATATGTGTACTTGTATATAATGACCTTTTATGCAGTTCTAGATTTTTATCCTTGAGATCATGTCATTGTTTCTCAATTAAGCAAATCTCTCAGTTTACTTTTGATGCTAATCTGTTACTTAACTGTTTGATCCTTTAGGTTCTATTCTAATGCCCAGATACCTGGGATCCAGTGCTTACTCTGCCCCTTTTTTTAGCCCTTAGAGTGTCTGAGGCACAGTTGTCTCCTCAGTGAGATGGGAACATATCTTTCTCTCATGGGCTATTGTTATAGCAGGTCATACATGTAAAAGCATTTATTAATAAAACAATGCCTAACATATGGGAAGTGTGCAAAAGCTTCTGGCATTGCTATTGCTGTCATTGTCATAGGTTTTAGATTCTGAATGTCCACTTGGTGTGTCAAACTGAATATCTAACACCTCTGTAGAAAAACAGATACAAGCCTGTGTTAATTTCTTTATTTGTATTTCTTGTATTGTCCACAAAAATGAGAAATCTAGACTGATTCAGAGAATATCATAACTTCTTGTGGAAAAGTATAATAAAATGCAATTATAGACATGTAACGAGCTCAAATGTACCTTAAGTGTGGACCTGTCAGTTCAGTTGCTCACTTCAGTTGAATCAATCCTTACAACTCTTTTCTCACTTTGCTTGAATATAAGAATTTGTCCCATAGCCCATTGGTGAAATATGTTTTTCATTTTAGGGACATTTGACATTCAGGGATGTGGCCATAGAATTCTCTCAGGAAGAGTGGAAGTGCCTGGACCCTGCTCAGAGGGCTTTATACAGGGCGGTGATGTTGGAGAACTACAGGAACCTAGTCTCCCTGGGTGAGGAAAAGGTGGCTCTTGACGTCGGGATCTGCCCTTGTGTGTCTTTGCTTTTTCTCTGTGTGCCCCTTGGGAGCCCCTGCATTGCTTGACTGACACTGAAGTCTTATTGACTCAGAAATGAAAGCTCCGTAATGCTTTCTGGACTTACAATGTCCCCATTCTTCAGACATTCTACCCTTTTCATGATACATCATTTTGTGGTACCAGGGGTTACATATGCAAAAATCCTTATGACAGACTTTTAAAGTGTCCAGTTCCCTGGTTTCTACCCTTGTGCTTTTGATTCAGTAGTTGTTGGAAGAGAGCTAGGTATCTGCATATTCCAATGTTCCCTAAGCATTCAGAAGGAGGCCATTTGTAGATGAACTTGTGAAATATTTTTCTTGATCCATTTGTAATATCTTCTCTCCTACCCTAAACATAGGAAAGTTTTGGAAAAACAATAGCACTTCTTGATTTTTTTCTTTTTATAAGCAGGAATCTCTCTTTCTGACCTGAGTGTTATCTCCATGTTGGAACAAGGGAAAGAGCCCTGGACTGTGGAGAGTGAAGTGAAAACAGCAAGAAACCCAGATGGGGGGAAATACATGAAAGGTGTGAACTCAGGTAAGAGCTCTGGTGGGCACAGTGGAAGCAGCACCATTAGCCAGTGTGTGGGAAACTGCAAGTGGGGAAGTTCTGTGGGTAGAGAAACGTTTGAATCCTGTGAGCTCTGAATGGAAATCTGTCTTTACCCTTACTTACCACTCTGTTCTTTAGACGTGTAACAGTTTATCCTTTTACCCTCCAGTGGTTCTGGAGCTTAAACAGAAACCAAAGCAAAGTCTTTATCATGATGGACAACACCCTGTCATCTGGCTTCTGTGAACTCTTTGGTCCCCTCACTCTGTGCAGCACAAGGAGGGCCATTTCCAAGGGGTCTCTTTCCCCCATGGCATCTCCTGTGCTTGATTCCATCTGATGCTCAGTTTTCTGTCTGTGGATATCACAACTGACACTTCCATAGACCTAACGCCTTGACCTATTCAGGTTCCACCCCATTTCCTGTACTTGGAAGACCTAATCAGGAGATGGGAAATGTTGGCTACTCTTCCTTTGCATCTGGGGCCTGGAAACTGCACAGAGCTGTCTCCAGCTGTCTCTTTGATGGCCCTCACCTGGGTTTCCTGTGATTCACTCTGACTCTGTCTATCTGGAGTTAGAATCAGATCCCACAGGCCAAGGACTGAGTCCACAAGCCTTCCGCCCACCTCAGACACCAATTACAAGTAATAGGTTGTCACCTTCCCTACTGACCAACTTGGGGTTCCCTTGACTCCTTCTCAGGTTTGATTAATTTACTAGGCCTACCCACAAAACCAGAAACATAAACATTCTTATGTTTACTGGCTTATTATAAAGGATATTTCAGAGGTTACAGTTGAATAGTCAGATGAAGAGACACACAGGGCAAGGCATGTGGGAAGGTTCACAGGACACACCATCCTCCAGGCACGTCCGTGTGTTCAGCACTTGGAAACTCTCATAATCCCGTAGTTTAGAGATTTTTATGGAGGTTCCATCAAGTAGGCATGACTGATAATTACTTCAATCTCTAGCCCATCTCCTCTTTTAGAAAGATGGTGGTTGGAGCTGAAAGTTTCAGGCTTCTAATCATGGCCTTGTTTTCTGGTGACCAGCCTGCATCCAGGAGACCACAGAGGTTGACTCATTAGAACAAATCATACTCCTGTCACCTGGGAGATCCCAGGGTATTAGGAGTCTGTGTCAGGAACCAGGGAGGAGACCAGTGTATGTATTTCTTCTTATTTCAGAAGGTCCCTCAATCATTCTTCAGTTTTGCTTTATCCACAAATTATTGGTGTGTATAAGAGGGGACTAGGTTGGCTTTTCGGAGAGTGTTACTCAGCAACAGAAGACAGTTGACAGATCCTGCATCGGATTCCCCAGGTCCGCATGGGGAGCATTGCTCACTGGAATGATGCCTCAAGTTCTAAGTCCCCTGTCATTTCAGCCACTGGTACTTTCATATTGTACATTTCCATGCGGTGTAAAAGAAGTTGGTTTTTATTTTTTATTATCCATTTCCTATTTTGTATGATATTCTTTGTGTTCTTTGTTTTATATCTGCAGTGTGTGGGGCTGGTGTATCACGGAATAGCTATTGATTTATGTATTTTTGAAAATTTCATTGTTGACTACAGAGGGTATAGCTCAGGAGGACAGGAGGACTTTCTCCAAAACCTATAGAAACTCAAGAAATCTTTGAATAGGTAGTTTAAATATTCCTTCTCTTTTTTTTTCCTGACTTAGTACCTACTATTAAAGTCTACTTTTGTCAAATAAATTTAATACATGTGTAAATTGAGAATTTTTGGTAACTCAAGAATATACTTTTTTTTTTGAGACAGAGTCTCACTGATGCCCGGGCTAGAGTGCCGTGGCATCAGCCTAGCTTACAGCAACCTCAAACTCCTGGGCTCAAGCGATCTTCCTGCCTCAGCCTCTCGAGTAGCTGGGGCTACAGGCATGCACCACTATGCCTAGCTAATTTTTTCTATATATTTGTAGTTGGCCAATTAATTTCTTTGTATTTATAGTAGAGACGGGGTCTCACTCTTGCTCTGGCTGGTCTCCAACTCCTGACCTTGAGCGATCCGCCCTGCTCGGCCTCCCAGAGTGCTAGGATTACAGGGGTGAGCCACTGCATCCAGCCAAGAATATACTTTTAAAAAAATTGTTACTGTCTTAATCTCAGAAATACCATTAAATTGACTTGCTATAATTTGTTATTTAAGATTGAGAGGAAAATTTTTAAACTGTTTTCCTCTGCTCTCACACCTTGCAACAGCAATCATCAACACAGAAGACTTCTGTGACCAAATGTGGGGAATTCCAAACAGGATGAGGGCTCAGTCTCCCTTCAGACTGCAGGCCCAAGTTTGAGCCTCAGGAACTTCTGACTGACTGCTTCAAGTTGGGATTTCCATGACTCTGTTGGGGTTTGATTAATTTGCTCAAGTGGTTCACAGAACTCAGGGAAACACTTACTATGTTTACCAGTCCATTATGGAGGATATTTTAAAGGATACAAAGAAGCAGGTAGGTAAAGAGATACATAGGCTATGGTCTGGAAGTTTCCTGAGCATAGGAGCTTCTGTCCCTGTGGAGTTGGGATGTGCCACTTACTGCCTGTGGATGAGTTCTTCACCATCTGTGAGCCTCCACATGTTCAGCTGTCCAGAGCTTTCCAAACTCATTCCATTTTTGTTCTTTTTTTTTTTTTGAGACAGAGTCTCACTCTGTTTCCTGAGCTAGAGTGCTATGGCATCAGCCTAGCTCACAGCAACCTCAAACTCCTGGGCTCAAGTGATCCTCCTGCCTCAGCCTCCCGAGTAGCTGGGACTCTGAATTGTAACCACCTGCAGCAAAAATTCCACTTGTCATGTTGTGTGATCCTTTTTTTTCTTGACGACAGAGTCTGCGCGCAGATAGAGGAGTGCTGTGGCATCAGCCTATGCCCAGCATCCTCGAAAATCGCTAATCGATCCTTGCTGCCTCTTCGTCTGCAGTAGCTGGGATACAGGCATGCGCCACATGCGGCGGGCCACCTCCCTTCTTTGTCGCTATATCATATTTAGTTGCCAATTAATTTCTTTGCGTATTGTACTTTATAGTGGAGATGGGTCTCGCTCTTGCTCAGGCGTGTGTTTGAACTCCTGACCTCAAGCATCCGGCGCGCGCGTGCCGTCGGGCCCTCCCAGAGTGCTAGGATACAGGCGAGCGCGCCGGCCTGGATCTTTTCAACTGGCTCTGATTTGTTTTGCTAGCATTTTGGTTGATTGATTTTGCGGTGGAGTATCAGAAAATACGGTCTATGAAGAACTTTATTGATTTAAATTTCAGCATATTATGGGTACAAATGTGTTTAGTAATATGGCCTGTGTCCTAGCCTGCGTCAGAGCTTCAGAAGCACGTCATCCCCGCCGACGGTGCACCAGCTAGCCACCATGTGATGTATAGTACCAGCTCCCGCCCTCCTCCCCCTCCTCATCATGCTTTGATACGGCCCGGATGAATGGTTAGCGTAGTATATGTGTGTTAGAATATAAGTGTTTGTAGTCATGAATTTGAGTGTGAGTGATATGTGTGCTTGATTTTCCAGCTATGTTGGATGACTGTCCTTAGTGAATAGGTCCAGCTCTATCAGGAAAATAGAAGGAGGTGCTTTAATATGGTTTTTACCGTTGTTTCTTATAGCTGAATGGAACCATTGTCTAACCATATTTTATTAATCTGGCTTATGTTTGCATCACTTGGGTATGTTTCAATCTGCATGTGAATTGGTGCTACTTCAAGTAGCAGACGTTTAGTAGAATGTCTTTTTTTGTATTAACCTTTATTCTTTATTACTGTTCTTTTATACTGAAGTGTTTAGTATAATCAGTTACGTATAATTCTGGGGGTGGTGAAGTATATA